CCCCCCCCCCCCCCCCCCCCCCCCCCGCCCCCCACCTCCCCACCAACACCAATCTCTATTTTCAGCGAATACTAAAGAGGACAAACCTTGTATCATGAAATCCTTGATCACACGATGGAAAATAGCGCCTTTGTAACCATAACCAAGCTAAAGGGGGAAAGAAAAAGAATACTCAGCTTATCTAAAATCCGGGGGGGGTACTCCCAGAAAAATTATGTTGGGGTGTGCGGCCCCCTTCCTAAAACCATAACCCTATTTCTGGCCAAAATTTGCGATTTTCACTACCCTATTTATGACTTGACCAAAAATGTGATACCCTACTTATGACCGGTGCGGCTGGCGCAGTTGCCCTTTATGAATGGCTTTTGTTGTTGGCCTTATCGATAATGATGAAAAAGAAGCTTCTTCTAAAAAAAAACATACCCAGTTTAAGACTTGAGTGCAAAAACCATACCCTACGGCTGAAAAACCATACCCTTTGGGACCGCCCATACCTAATGACCCATACAAGTGAGTACCCCCACCCCCTCCCCCGCCGTGTCTGAAATGAACAGCAAGCGTGCGGCGGGTAAGTAGGTTATGTGACGCACGGCTTTCTCCATGACCCGAACCGACTGACCTCGGAGAAATATTGAGGCCTAGGAACTAGGCAAGGGTCGTGTTACGCTGTGTGCATTCTGTGACACTGCTTCGTTATGTGACTCTTATGTGAAACTGGACACTCCACATACTGAGTGTATCTGGCTAGCACATGTAACGCTCGGATGACAAAGACTACTGGCACTTCGGTTTATAGTCCATAAGTCCTCTGGATGGCCTAAATTTCACTACGGTTAGCCTAAGTTAGCCTAAAGAGCTTGTAGTTAGCCTCTTAGGGAGCTTGAGGTTATTAGCCTATATATTGAGTTTCGGTATTTGTAAAGGCTTTGGTATTTGCAAAGACTTTGGTATTCGTATTTAAAAAATTCGGTGGGAATGATTCTCGCAACGATCGGGTTTCGACTCCTCTGAGGGTTAGAACTGTAAATATCTACTCATCATGAGTGTAAATCAAAGAAGTCTCGGACAAGAAAAACCTCTAGTGGGACGTCGCTGCTATAAAAAGAGTGCACTATGTCACAATCACCGACACGAAGAGCGCGGGAGTGTTCTTGGGAGAGCGTGGATAACGACCGATAACTAGTCAACTGCCTGCTAACACAGCCCGCTCTTTAGAACGAGCACCACGTGTAACTCCGGTCAAAACAATATGAAAACGAGTTTCTTCTCGCAAGTCATTAAGAGTGTACTTTAAGCAGTGAGAGCGATAACAAATGTATTATGAAAGAGGAACGGGTCTGGGGTGATAAGAGTAGTCAACAAAAGATGTAACAAAATACATATGCATGAAAATAAATTCAGTATGTGTAACAGTTTTACAATACGTACCTCATGTGAAGCCAGAGCCTTAAAGTTCTTGACGGTTTTAGGGACCGTGTTCCCAAACAGCCCTATGACAATTCTTCCTTTGGGTTCCTTGCCGATACTGATGTCGAGATATGCCTTGCTGGTTACCATAGTATCGGAATCTGCGCTAACATGTACGACAAGCGCGTTAATGGCACACACAGCTAAAACGAAGAGAATCATCTTGACCAGGACGCTGTAACCCTGACGCTTGTAGTTTGAAGACAAGGGCAGAAATGACTTACAAAGAGTCTTCAATGTTCCTTGAGAACTTAATGTCTCAAATTCGCTGCCACGTACACACGTTGCGTCATGAATGACCCTCTGTACAGCTGTCTGTGAATGAGATCAATGTGAGATTGTCCTGTTTTATGTTTGGTTGCAGTCACGGTAGCCGGTGGTGCGACCAGAACTAACAGAGGCGTAATAGGCAAAAGCATATTAAATACAGTACATGTATATGACGAGCAAATCTCTTTGCCTTATTGCAAAAATTTCACTTAATCTGCTTCTTTAGAAAAAGCGTGACATCCCTTTGCACGTAAAGATCAGTCACGAAAGGCTTCATGAAGTGTCCCAGGTGTGAATCGAACACTTGATTGGCGGAAACGGTGTCCGAAGGTGTGTCAGATGTGTACTTCCTAACTTTTGAAAAAGCGCAAATTTTCAGTTAGTGTCCAGGATTTTTGCTATTTCTGAACTACTTTATGGAGATTTTGGCTTAACAGCTATGCGTAGACTACAGAATGGGAGAGCTCTTTGCCAGATTTCACGCTTCAATTCTTCCTTTGCCGTCTTTTCTCATCCCGTACCAAGTAAATGTTGACAGACCTAGACACTAAAAGACGGGCTGATCGTGGTCTACTAGTAGCTGCTTCTAATGCTTCAACTACTACTGTGGATTTTTTTCGATGCCGTCGGCCGTCGTTTCCCCTCAAGTAACCAACGACATCGAAAAAACCCGTAGCCACAAACCCGAAAACATAGGCACGCAAGGCGTGCAAGAGTTATTTTTTTGTGAACTATAAGTCTCGGAGATAGGAGCA